GGGTTTTTTTTTGTTGTTGTTGCTGCTGCAGCTGAAAAATAGTGCCTTCAAATTTTAAACAGAGAAATTTGGATTTTAACAAGCCTCTATCTCTCAGTCTTCCAATTAGGGGAAGCATATTTGCAGCTGAACTCAAAATAATAAATTTTATTCGGTGGGTATGAATCAGGGAAATCTGGATTGCTCAGAATAGCTGTAATGTGGTTTTCGTATTGCATAATGACAGAGGTGATTCTTTTCAAAGTATATAACATGAGTAGAAGCAACTACTCCACGAATACTTTGCAGCTAATGAATTTCCTCTGGTTGAAAATTGTCCATGGGCAGGATAATATTTTGTTGAAGTTCCTCAGGCAACACCCAAAATTGCTGGGCAGACATGTTATGGGAATAATGGCCTTGCCATTTTGCCTGTAAAAATAGTAGTTTTCTCAATCATTGTAGTATTGATAACCCTTTTCTTCCTCAAATATCCAGAATGGTCTTAGGGCCAGAATTTCCCACTTATTGCAAGACTTCTAAAATTTGGGAATTTTTTAAGATTTAAGTTGTCTTGGTATTGCATGACTGCACTAACGGATCTCATGTACACATGAAATTTGTTTTTCTATTTGTCTTAAAGCTGGTCTATGACCTTATAAGAAGGCAGAAACTAATAGCAGGAATCTAGATTGCTGGTGCAGAGCCCACTTGACAATCCCTTACCCATGCCCAGTGCCAAGGCTGGTCTCAAAGGCTGGGCTCTGCCAAGAGAACCCCCCTTGACAGTCATCAAATAGAAATAAACTCCCTTAAGGTGGGCAGCCCAGAGCAGAAACTCAGTACAAGCACCTTCCAGGAATGATTCATCGATTCTAGGGAGACTATATTGGGATTCTACTTTGAATTACCCGGGAGAGGAGTCTGCCTCTCTCTTCTGATTACAGAGGTGCTCTTCAGTACACAGCAAAGCCTTACTGATGATCAGGTAAAAATGAGTTTTATGGATTGCTCTGTGTTACAGCTTCTAAGCCTGCATAGTTACCCGCTTTTATCGCTTGAAATGGATGTAAACCTTGTGCGAAAGGCAGAGGAGGACAATGAGGAGAACAAGGGTTACACTTTTTACTTGTTAGGATTTGTCAGGGATGCGGAGAATAGATGTCTGACCTCTGGACTTGGACACTTCTAAAATTGATACTAAGGTACCAACAACTACCACATCTTCTGTTAGTCTTGTGAATCAGTCATGAATCTAGAGGGGGAAAAAATCACGTTTCTGTAGAGAAAATGATGTATTAGCTGTACGTGCGTGGAACTAATGACAGATTGTGACTATAAGGGGAAAAAAAATAAAACAAAAAGATGAAATAACAATACAGGGATTTCTATCTTCCTGGTATACACTTGTCTTATACGTTTGAAAAGGCTAGGAGCCCTCCTTGCCTGTGCCAGCAGCCTTTTTTCTTAGTGCTGGGCCGGTTGTGTAACCAGTCGGCAAAGGGTTCAGGTAATGAGCTCTGGCAGGAGTGCAATTGGAAATGGGAATTGAAATTGAAAGTGGTATCTCCCGGGCTCCCTACCCTTCGGGAACTCTCAGCTCCTGCACTGAGACCTGAAATCTTTCACTTGTTTGTGCTCTAACCTGAAGCAATCAAAACAAGGGAGAGGCCCCAGGAATAAATTGGTTGTCAAGGTGGTCCTGATATTGATCAAGTTCCGCTGTTTATGTGAAATGGGCTCATTTCAGTGTGGCACTCAGATTGACTGCAGAGCAGGGGAGAAGCTTTTTTGGATAATACTCTTTCCACATGAATGGTAGTATGGTGAATGTTCCTGTCTCCCTCCCACAGTAACAGTGAGGGGAGAAATTAAGATTTATATTAACTGAATTTGTAAATCTTCCCAAAAATGGGACAGTATAATTTTCAAGCCTTCTCCCAAGGTTTGCAGTGGTGCTCAGCTTTGTAAAGGTTTAAAATACCTTCTGTCTTGTTTCCCACTATCATTTTCTTGCTGACAATATCCAACAATCAACTTACAGTCTAAAAAAACACTAATACTGCAATGATCCCCCTCCTAGAAGGGATGGGGAATCAGCACTTCAGACTTGGAAAGAAGGTGAAAAAGCAGAACAAAAGCAACTCTTCTAACAATATTTATGACCCTACACCTCTGAAAAAGTAATTTTGCAGAATTGCTGATGCTGTTGTTACTCTTCTCAGCCTCTCTCTACAGCTGCCTCCCCCCACCCCACCACCTGATTTCAACCCTGCAAATGGAACATAATTAGGACAAAGCCCGAGTTAGCACATGTGCACACATTTACATGTGCACGTGTCCACAAAACGCCATCTCTTTAATTAGCCTCTGTCATCACGTAGCCCCGTGCCAATAATCCTTTGCACCTGTCAGCTGCATGAGAGATTTCCAAAATGGAAAGTGAGAAACCTTTTGGCAGTGTGGTGAAGCCAGGCGTGCTGGCTAGCTAATGGGAGACCTTGGGATAAGGCCTGGGAACTTCACATGGGCACCTTCAGGCACTGACAACGGGAGAAACCGGGAGCCAAGACGTAACCTCTCATGTCCTTTCTGCTTTCTTTGGGTAATAGATGGTGGTTCAGAGGGGGTAAAGTCAGATTCAGAGCATCAGCTGCCAGTCGGAGCACGTTGGTATTTAGCAGGGATCCCAAATCCCTGCATAAGACATCAGAGTGTCTTGATGGGAAGGGTTGCATCCACTGCAGGCTGCACTCATGGAGGGACAGTCAATAAGACAAGGGGGATGACTTTAAACTGAAAGAGAGTAGGATTAGGTTGGATATTAGGAAGAAATTCTTTATTCAGAACGTGGTGAGGCACTGGAACAGGTTGCCCCGAGAAGCTGTGGATGCCCTGTCCCTGGAAGTGTTCCTGTACAGTTTGAATGGGGCTTTGAGCACTCTTATCTGATGGAAGGTGTCCCTGCCCATTGCAGGGAGGCTGAAGCTAGATAATCTTTAAGGTCCCTCCCAACTCAAACCATTCTATGATTCTGTGATTTTTCAAAATTTTACTTTTCCTAGAGCTGCTTCCCCCAGCTAATCAAAATGTAGCACAACCTAAATGTCGGTGTATCTTCCTTGATTAATCAGTGCTTTCATAGTCCCCTCAAATTTCATATTGATTTTGCTAGGAGAAGTCAGGGAGGGATTTTGAACATACCTGCTCAACCTTGTACTTGACAGATTCCTGCCATATACACATGCTTTTGTGTTGGGGTGACCTGGGTTTATCCTTTGTATGAGCCAAAAAGAACACTTTTCCCAGGACGAGTGCTGGGAAAGCTTGGGTGTGTTGGTGCCTGAGAAACCTCAGGAGAAAACCGCACTCGCTCTCCTGAATTCCCTGGAGATGCATCAGGAGTTTGATGCATCTGCAAAGGGGCCATCTCAGGCATTGACTGACATGCAGGGTTCTCAGTCACAGATGTTTACAGGCATTTTGTTTGTTTCTGCGGGGAGATGATTGTAAACCAGAGAGGAAGAGGTGAAGTGGTGATACGACGATCCACGGAAAGATTTCTGCATGAGAAGTAAGGTCTGTTAAAATGATGGGTAACACTTCCATCACTGTAAAGCCTTCCAACCCCCATGCTCACGGAGTTGGCTAATTGAGCTTTCTGGTGCTTATTTTTTGTTGGTTTCTGTATGTGCTGGGTCATTGTTTTAGCATTTTGATGCTTGGTATGACCATAGGTCAGGGATTGGAATAAATAGGCTGCCCAGGGAAGTGGTGGAATCACCATCCCTGGAGTTGTTTCAAAGGTAAGTGGAAGTGGTACAGGAGGACATGATTTAGTGGTGGACTTTGCAGTGCTGGGTTAACAATTGGACTCAATCTTAGAGGTTTTTTCCTACCTTAACAATTCCATGATTCTGTGATTCTACAAGTAGTGTGGTGGAAGTTGCCAGTGAGAATAGCACTGCCATCACAGCGAGCACAGAGGAAACTGAAATCTCCATGACACTCTATTTGCTTGCAGATACAATTATAAGGAAAACTGACTGACAATGTCAGTGATAGATACATTTTTTATGTACAAAATAAATGTAGTGCACTCTAGTGCACTTAAAAACCCCACTTCGGGCTTCCACAGAAAGGGGAAGGAGGTGTTTGAGGGATGATGAATGTTTCATCACTGTTGCTGAAGAGGTAAATTATTTCAGTTTAAGAATAAAACATTTTTGAAATGTCTGAGTCCTTACTACACTTTGCTGTCTCATAATAGCCACCCAAATGCCTGGATCACTTAGTGACCAGTCACCTGACATATCCTGTAGTTCAACTGCAGGATGGGTGCAACAGGCTTTACAGCAGCCACAAAAGTGGAGAAGTAGCCTGACGAAATTCAACTAAAAATGGGCTTCTCAGCACTTGAAATGGCAGAGTATTGGGAGAACTGTGTACAAAACAGCAAACCCACTTTTTTTTTTTCCATTTCAGATATTGTTAGGAGATTGAATCTAAGCTTTCAGACAAGCCTGAGGCAGAAGAGATAAAATGTTGAGTTACAGTGATAAAATGCATTTTCCTACATTCAAATTCTGATTTGTGTCTGACTACCTGGTGTATTTGAACTCTCACTGTATTTATTTGTTTTCTGCTAGCTAGAGAAATTTTATACGTGTGATTAGGTCCCTGTCATATATTGCATTTTATGAGCAGAAGGGATTCTTCAAAAGTGATGAGAAAAGAATGGCAGGGAGGCAGGAGCACGCACCATGATGTGGTTTTAACAATCCCAGTTAGAAAAGAGCACGAATTGCTACAAGTATTCAGGCAATTATTTTCAAACCGTGTTCCTCCCCTTATATCCTCTGTCCTCTTCCCTAATGGGTGCCACTATACAGCAGTGGAGTCTAAAAAGGTAAGAGCATGCGAGAAGAAAGGGAAATAAACAGGTACACGGAGCCTGAGAATTATGCATTAATCGGGTACTGTAGATGTTGATTTTTCTACTTCTTTGGCTTGTCTTATAGGGATGCAAGGGCAAGAAGAAACTTCTGTGGAGCCTATGAAAATTGACCTTGCAAGTGAAGCAGCAGCCATTTCAAATAAGGATGGTATGTTTTTCTAATATTTTAGATTCATTTTTTAGGGTAATGGCTTTAAACTGACAGAGGTCAGGTTTACATTAGATATTAGTAAGAAATTGTTCACTTTGAGGGTGGTGAGACAGTGGAACAGGTTGACCGGAGAAGCTGTGGATGCCCCATCCTTGGAAATGTTCAAGGCCAAGTTGGATGGGGCTCTGAGCAACCTGGTCTGGTGAAGGGGAATTAGAACTATATGGTCTTTAAAGTCCTTTCCAACCCAAACCATTCTATGATTCTGTGAATTGTCCTGAAGTGGATGCATAGCCTGCCTTTCTGGGCTTTGTTTGTATGCTTCCCCCTAAAAAATGGGAGTTAGATTTATAATCTCTTCAACTGATTCTTCTCAAGAGTTTACACCATCTCTACTGTCTTGGGAGTCTTATGGCAGTACCTTTCAGTGCCGTAGCCCTGCTTTGTGAGTTGGCTGGGTTTATGTTTTCACTCTGCCTGCCTTTTAACTGAGTAGTATTTTAGACCCACTGTAATTTTGGTTTTGTTATCAAATTGGCCAATATATGGGGAGTCTCATACAGGAGTCAGAAGATATTTCTGAAAAATTCTGTGCTCATATCCAACTCTATCAAGGGGAAAGTGTTGGCTGTATATCCATTCTGGACTTGTGTGTTGGCCTCATTCTAGCTCAGAGATGATTCCCCTTCCTCCTTCTTCAGCATTCACGTTTAGCTCATCTGATAGCAGGTGGAAGTTCTCTCCCTAGGACATTTATAAAACAATCACAGTTTCATTGATCCAACAGCAGTTCCAGTCAGGTTTGTGGACATTATCAACGCAAATATCCTGACTTGGAAATGAAATTCTTTTGACTTTGACCTCAGTGACCCCGATGACCCAACTGTGGGGCAAATCCTGGCAAGGGCTGAGTAGCAGGAAGCTGCTCGAGCTCTACAGTACTTGTAAACAAAAAAACATGCTTTTAACCAAAAAAATTTGTCCTTCTTGGCTCATCCTGTGTGTAAAGAAATAATGGATGAAATCAGCATCCTGGTGCTTAGATTTTGGTGAGGCAGACCCTTTATCCCTCCTCTGGATCAGCTATTGTAGCATAGAAGAGGTACATACAGGGGTTTGTTGGTTCTTACACAAAGGGTCTTTTTTATTGCTCCAAACAGCAGTCGGTTTGGGATTGGGCATCCAATACTCACTTTATTTCCATGGACTCCTCTCTGTAGTGAAGGCTATTTTTTAGCTCTTTCTTTAGCCTCTTCAGCATTGATATAATATAAATTCAAGGCACACTTTTTTACATCTCGAAGACAAACCAATTATATTTTTTTTTGCTATTAGTTACACAGAGAATCTGATGCTGATTTCCTTTCTCTGATGTCAGATTGTGCTGCAGCTTTTGAATTGATGACTGATTTAGATACTGGCCTGTAGGGAAGTTTTTTGCAAGCACAGGAAAAGCAAGAGTGCATAATGAATTTTCTTTTTTAAAAAATACTAGAGATTATGCTATTCCTAGTAGATGTGCAGAATAAAGCCAAAGCAACCTTCTCTCCTCATCCTTTGAACAAACAAAGTAAAAAGTCATAGTCACATTAAAATATTTAAACTGTGAATCCCTGCAATAGTCTGGGTTACTTAGTGAAAACAAATCCAAATTTACCGAAGGAATCTCTTAAGGGATTTCTGTCTGGAAAGAAAAACGATCCCCTAGCTGTTTTAACGTGTGCTGTAGCAAAGCACAGCTGGATCAGGTGGCAGCTTCTGAAATGAGGATCTTGATAGGTTTCTCTGTTTTGAATCTTCCTTATCTTGTATGGTCTTTTACATATGACTCATAACTTCCTTTTCTTTGAACTTTCAAAGTTATATGAAAGGACAGGAAAAGGGCGTTTGCTAAGGCTCCAGAAAAGTACTCTCTAGTCAGGGAAGTCTTTGTTTCTATGCGGCTTAAGTTGCTATTAGGATTATATTACAGGGTGTTTTTTCTTGTGGGCATATATTGCATGTTTTAAAGAAGAACAGAGGAAAGATCAAACTCATTCCCTTTGACAGTAATTTTCATGTAAATTGCCTGTTTTTTCTCTGGTCTGCTTCATTCCGCCCCAGAAGAGCTCATTGCTTCACAGCTGAAAGCACAAGCATCTATCACTGGGTCACCCTTGGCAGCCCAGCTCTTGTGGTTTAATTTCATGTACTATGGCACAGCAAAATTTGCTTTAGAAAGGGAGAGAGTTTAGACAGCTTAGGTGGATCTCGATATTGGTTCATCCGGTGGGCAGGGCCATGATAGTGATACATTTCAGAAATGACTGTTATTTGAAAGGTGGGCATGATTCTCCATCAGGAAAGCTGTCAGAGGGGGTGTGTGTAAGGGGGATAGGGACATGTATACGGATACAGGTTTCTCCTTGCAGTCTCCATCGGCCACCAGAGCCGAGACCTCTGGATATTAAATTTCTTGTACCCAGGACAGATTTGCTGATTAGTATTTTGTAATGATGACAAATCCCAGCTTTGGTGATTGGTTTCCTAGGTGGTGTTTTCCTGACAGTAGCCTTTTTTTATTATTTCTATTCTTTTTTTTTTCTTTTTTTTTTTCTTTTTGCCACCAAAGCTATGGAGATTACTAAGGTGGTTGTTCATTTCCAGCCGGTATTAGGCAGATCAAACTCTTCACTCCTTTCACAATGAGGTTGCTCATTTGCCTTTTGTATTTCCAGCCTGTGGAAAGCTGCGTCCTGACTGACTGACGCAATAGAAGAAAAGAAAAAGATGAGGGCAGTGTCAAACCTGAAATTTCCCATTTTTTTTTAAAAGCTTCTGCCGATGAATGCACTGTCAGCAACCTGACCTCCACATGATTCGCCAAAGCTATATAAAAGCACAATCTCAACAGCTAACACCCTCATGCTTTTATTTATGGTGTTGATGTAATATCGCAAAAACAAGTTATCTACCAAGTAAAGAGGTGCAAATGGGTTGAGGTTGATGGTTTTCTTTCTAGAAATCTGGAGTTATAGCTGAATGTGCTATAACTATGTGGATGCGAAGGGGTGCACTGTTTAGGAAGTGGCTGAAGGAATAGGCTATATTTGCAAGGAAGAGTCTGACCAAGCTCCTACTCAAATCAAGACAGTAATATTTGGATGTTATGTGCCATCCAGCTCTACACCATAATATCCTGGGGTGGGGAAATGCACTCGCTCTCTCGCAGACAACTCTAAACTTGGCTCTCCAGTCTCCCTTTTGCCTGTCTTCTCCACTTAGATGCTGTGCTGTGACTCCTGGCTAGCTGACCTTTAAGCACATAGCTTTCCTGCTGGGATGAGGAGGGATGCTGCACTGCCAACGCACATCCCCCAGGTCAGCAGCAACTGCAGCGCTGTGATGGATGGGAACTCTTTGCTGGGTTATTTCTTCTCCTCTCGCGGGGAACTTGCTTTTCTGGGGGAAATCCCTCCCTGGTCATCATTTGAGAGCTGCTAATTTTACCCCCAACAGGCCAAAATTTAAGGGAAAGCAGACAGGGAATGCACAGAGATGTCCATTTCTGGTGCAAAAAGCCCTGTGTGAAGGTGCAGAAGGAGGTGCAGGTAAAACTGAATTTAGGAGATGTGCACCTCCTTGAACTCCACATGCTTTGCTGAGTTGCTGGTTGATGTAGCATATTATGAGAGGTGCCACAAGACTGCTAAAGCAAGTTAGCAGTTTAACACCTCTAAAAACCTTGTTTAGCTGGGAGAAGGCCAGTTTTCAGTTGGGATGTGATTGAGTGTAGTGCACCCAGGGCTAATGATGCCATTCTGACACCACCTTGTGCTGGGAGACACCAAGGGCCGTGAATCACATCGCCACCGTACTTGGTGGCAGCCCTTCTGTCTGCTTTTGCAGTATGTGCCTCACTGTTGTGCTATTTTCAGCTAAATAGAGAGGTTTGTGTAGGTGGCCTCATATTGACATGTGTTGTTGGGGTTCACTCAGTGGTCTGAAGAATCTTATCCTTCAGTCAGGTCTTCCTGTCCCTACCAGAGCTGATGCCATGAGCCGAGCTTAGTCACAGATACATAGGAAAAGGCTCATCTGGGGTGCTGAGAGAGCCTAACCACAGGTTTCAAATCCAGATTTATTTTGCAGGAGGTCTCTGTAAAATGTGAGTGAAGGCTGATGGTATTTTCAGCAAAGCCAGCCAGTGAAGCTGGCCAGCATAATGAGGCTGGGAGAGACTGCTGTTGTCAATGTGGAGCAGCCTTCCCTCAGTGATTTTTTTATTAAGCATCCTGTCTTTGCTATGCAAATGTGGGTAAAGAACACAACTTTGTGACAGGCATCAGAGCTCTGTAATCAGGAGCAGATACTTTTCTTATTATTCATCACATACATCCAGGAAGCCATTACAGTATCTGTTCTGCATATGGATGATGAATAATTTACAAATAATTAATCAAAACCCTAACAGGTGTATTGACATGTTATTGATTCAGAAAAGAGATTGTGCTGCCTGGCTGGAAGTAGCATCATTATTGATTTTTGGCTTTTTTTCCCTCCCCTTTCCCATCTTCCCTTAGTTTCCAAATCTCCCACTCAGGTTTGAGGTTTTTCCCTGTCACCCGTGTCAAATGGCTCATAATCTGCAGTTGAGACCACAACACAAAGCAAGGTTAAAGAAAGAAGAAGAGGTCTTAATGTAATGACTTCATTCAGATTCATTGCAAAACAAATACTAGAGACTAATCTTAAAAATGTGGGTGCTGAGGTATTTATGTTTAGCTTAAATATGACCAGTCACACCTACCGTAGTTTAGATATTTTTTACAAAGGTCATGATGAAAAGAGTTTTAGCCTTCTATTTAAATTATTTCTCACTTTTGTAGTAATTTTAAATGAAAATAAGGTTGTTTTTGTAAATGGATAGCGCACTAGCAAACTATTATTCGTAGTGATGTTGCCTCTGAATCTGCCAGCAAATTTGCGGTTCAGGAACATCTGGAAGCAGCATCTCTGTAGCTGATACAATATCAAAAGGGTCACAGACTGACTGCTGCAGTTTAGGGACATGGTCTAGTGGGATTTGACAGTGTTAGGTTTATGATTGGACTCAATGATCTTAAAGGTCTTTTCCGACCTATATCAATCTATGATTCATTATGAGCCTGTGGCTCAGCTCCGAGTCCTGCCAAGAACTTTGTCAGAAGCCTATGGATATTTGAACCAGAGGGGTGAGACCGCTTGGGCCAGCAAAACTCAAATTTAACCTTTGGCAATACCTATGTCTCTGCCTGTGGCCTACAGAGACAGTCTCATTGAGATCCTGAGCTGTGTTAAACTTAAGTATCATGAATAGAGTTTGATGACCATCTTGTTTTGTTTTCAGCTGAAATGAATAGTCAAGTTGAAAGTATAAATGATCCTATGGAAACAGAGCGGAAAGCTTAAGTAACAGGTAAGACCTTCATGACTATTTTTCCTCCCCCATTTTCCAGTCAGTTTCTGTTTGAAAACCTGCTTTAAAAATTACCTTAATTAAAGATAGAATTTACCGAAAATAAAAAAATAAAAAAGAGGAAGACAAAATACAAAGGAAAAGAAATTTTCTAATATGGCCCATATTACATCAAAAAAAGAAAATAACCAGTAGACTTGATTTGTCAAGTAAATATTATAGTAGCAGCAGTCTGCAGTTGTAATGGGTTTAGACAGTGCATGGTCTTAGATCATCAGAAGGCAAGACAGCACTGAGATAAGGAACAGAAGAGTAACTGAGCGAACCGTTTCTGGCATTGCTTAGGAAAATGACAGGCAATTTATACTGGTTGGAACCGAGCTCAGTCCTGTATTCTGGGAACAACAGGTTCACGTCACAAGGGGTTTGTTGCCCTTGGCTCTCTGATGCCTAACGTTACTTGTAGCAATACCACTGGAAAACAAGACAAAGTCAGAGAGTTGCAGCAGAAAGGAGCTCTGCTGCCTTTCGGAGCTTTTTTGGTCTTTATGCAGTAAATACTAGTGCTGTTGCTGGAGTAGGCAGTGGTGGTTGTTGAGGCAGAGTTTGTCATAGGCATAAACAGTGTTGCCCCTAAACAAAAATGAATAATTTGGTGGGAAGAAAAACATCCAAGACTCATACCCAGTTAAAAGAAGCATTTGCCATTTCTCCCTCAGAACTAGTTTTAAGTGCACCTCGCTTCCTTTGCTGTAGGGTTACTGAGAAATACCAATATCATCGACAGCAAGATACTCTATTTACACTTGTAATGGGGTTTCATGTAGCACAAGAGCAAATATAGAGGCTGTACAACGACAGCAGCCATTCACAGAGATTTAAATCACAGAGATCTAAAATACAAGGTCTTACTACTGAGCCTGGCTCTTGGTCCTTGTCAGCATATAGGCAGCGTGCTGCCATACTGTCAGAGTAACAAATAGCCCTGATGGAGTCCCTGGTAAAAAGTCCTGAAGTAAAAACAGAGTGCACCCCCACCATTAAAATACAGCGTCCACAACTCATCCTTGCCCTCCTCTAGCTTCTGGTTATACGTTGTTCAATCAAAAAAAGAAGAGGAACTAATGAAATCCCCACTGTTCAAAATACATGGAAAGGTTAATACCCTTCCTCAGTTTAAAAAAATGTATTTGACAATTATTACAGCTTTCATGTGGCCCTTAGGAAGTCTGTGTTTTATGCTACATTTTCCCATTGAAATGAATATCTGTGAATGTTTGGGGCTGGAGTCATTTTTACTCACAAGTTAGCAATCAATTGATAAATCTCTTCAATTCCACTGCAAGACCTGGCTCTGCAGGCACCTTTCTGAAGCAAAGGGACCCAATCCAGGTTGTAACATGTCTCTCCCAGCGTTGCAGTGGGATGCACAGGATTCAAAGTGGGCACTGAATTCATTGCAGTTCTCTATCAATCACTGCCACTGTTTTAATTACAAGGAGCGGGTCCCCAGGGAGGATTGATCAGCCTGTTAAACTTCATAGCATCTCACAAGAGCTTTTGGAGCCAGGGAGATCCCTTTGCTTACTATGTTGGTTTTAGCACCAAAGCACCCACCAGAGCTGGGGATCTGTGGTATCAAGCTGGGTACCAAGGTGCTATAGAAAACCAAGAAACCCTGGTAAGCACAGTCAATATACTCATCAAGTAATACTAGTTGTTATATATAAGCCGTGTGACACACACACATGACAGAAAGAGAAACTGCAAGCATTTGTGCTGGAAAGATGAGACCTGGGTTCTATGCAGATATTTGAAATTTTGCCTTTTTCCTCTTCTTTTCTCTCTGCTATGGCAAAGGAAGGATGCAGGAGAGGAGAGACCCGAGGAAACGCGACCGGCAGGCGCTGACATCCTACAGCATCATTCTTGGCAGAAAAGAGCACACAGAGATGCTCCACGGGTTGGGAGGGAGGGAGCTTTGGGGGAATGACTCTTTGCTTTAATTTCTCTTTGTTCTTCATTGCATTTTGTTCTGTAAACCTGTTGGAAAGAATCATAACTTCCCAGTTCTAACAATGTTTTGCAGTTATCCTTGCAATTACAACAGTTTCTTATGAACTGTGAGTCCCTGTCTTATATTGGGTCTCTTTTCCTCCTGCATCATATCATCAGTCACCTGTTTCCAGGCCCACCCCTTTTCTAGCATCTTTATCTTCTTTCCCATGATCAACCTGTGCTGTGCCATGTCCCTTACCTGTGAATAGCACACGTGGCCTCAAACTGCCAGCACCCCAAATCTGTCCTGCTTTTTTTTCCAGTTAGTTCTGCACGCCCCAAAACCAGGGCCATAAGTATGACCTTTGGGTACAGGTAGGCAACAGACATTTCCTCAAGCCTGCAGACACTCTGCATTCGAGGCATCTTTAAATACAGCTCTCAGCTTTAGCAGCTTCACACTGTACCTTGTGTGAGCCCTCATTAGATTTTCCACTGCATATGCATGATTTTCTTTCTGTTTTTTTTTTTTTAAAGCAATTAAGAGTTATTTGGATAAGAATGTCTCACCATATGTCAATTGTTCTGCCAGCAAATGCTGCGCTGAAATTTGTAAAAAACTAACAGAAGGGTTGCACATACATTTCCCAACCGTGCTGTAACCAAAACTGATGGACAATACACCGGATGGAAGAGCACACAACCCATGTCCAGGGCTACAAAATGTATTTTAAAATGCTGCTAAGAATAATTTGATCATTTTGAGCAAAATAGTTGCTTCTAATTTGATAATTGTAAGCAAAATAATTGATTCCATGTGTTTTTTTTCTTCACCCAAAATATACGTGAATCCCAAAATAAGTATTTAAAATACGACCAAAAAAAAAAAAAAGAAAAAGAAAGTAATAAACAAGGTAAGATGTATCTCTATCCTCCTGTGATCTGGGTTCGCGCCAGCTAGAGTAGTTGTGGTGATAAACCATGTGCTGGTGTAATAGTGAGTCAAGTGTAAGTGTGGCCCCAACACACCAGCACAGACTTTGGCAGTCGGTGGCTGCCGTTAATTCAAAAGGGTGTCAAGGAGAAACAAGGATTAGAAAGGAGAACAAGAAAAACCCCAGATTTCACCAGGACAGTACAACCTCTAGAAAGGCAGCCCACTATTTCTTCCTCTCTGTGGGCCTCCAGGATGTTTGATTGAGGTGGAATCAGAAGAGTATTTCTGTGTGCTGGCTCCAGGGGTTTGTTCACCCCCTGGTTTGTCACTGGCACCAGAGAGGATCTCGAGGAGCTTCTTCATCACCTGGTTGTCCTGGTGGTGAGTACATAACTCTGGGGTTGACTGTGGAGGGAGCAAATGAGCTGATGTAAGCCTCTGAATTGGGTTGATAATCTTGCTAAGTTTGCTAACTCTGTCCCCTGTTCTTTCCGAGCACCCTTGAAGGGATTCCTTGTTCCCTTTGAGGTGGTTCTGCTGCTTTTCTTTCCCATCCTTGGGGTCGTGCTTGACAGAACGTGTCTTTTGGGACATGGACTTTTTTTTCCTGTGGTTCCTTCTCCTGGTTTTCATCAGTCTTGCAGTGGGAGACCTTGCAGGCAGTACCTCTACATGGTGCACATCCATCCTCTATGTTTCTGTATATTTTCCATACTGGGTCATTTTGTTTGAAACAGGCTGTCATAACAGGAAGGTCAGAAATGGATAAACACCTTGGGAGGATGGTATAACTGCGGTAACTTCAGTCAAAAGAGTATCCAGTCTCCTAAATATAGTTCTATGCCTGTTTCCATTGTGCTTGCCCATGGGCAACATTAACAGGGATGTTAGCTGCCATTAGCCACCTATCAGATGTCCCTTTTCCATTGCCAGCCTCAGTTTTAGCAGAGGAGCCAAAGGGAGAGTTCTACAGGAGGCTGGCTGTTGAGGTGTGATGGTTCAGAAGGAGACAAATAATCCTTAAATGCCTTGTGAAGACTGACTGGTAGTTAAAGAAAAAAATTAACTGCAAAGATGCATTGCATTAGACACTCTCTAACCCCTGACAGTAATTCATTGTGCTTTTCATTTGACCTTGGTCCTCAGATAGCAGTGAGTCTTTGAAACCACAAACCATTCACCCAAGGATGCGGCGGCAAAGCGTGAACTGTAAAGCAAGGAAACATAAGAATTGATTAAGTCCTTTCTGGACAATTTGCAGCCATGTCTATGTCTGTCTTTCTTTGTGTGGGTTTTGGTTTGAATTGTTGGAGATTTTCACAACTCATAAAGTGAGTGTAGTTTGGCAGTGTGAGTTCTCAGCTGCGCTAGTAGTCGAGGCTGCACCCATGCCCCTCTGTTGTTTTTGCTGGAGCTGCAGAAAGGCAGGGAGCTGGTTCTGTAGAAGAGCAAGCATCAGATGGAGAATCACCCCACTGGGATTTATGTCAAAGATTTTGGTTTAAATCCAAAATGTGTTTGCAATAGGTGGTGTAAAGGGAGTAGCAGCCCTTGGGTGCTGATGTTTGCATTCAAAGTATGAGGCTCTGCTTGATGGTTGTTTCTCCTGTGTCTGAAAGCGCTCATCCCTACCATTAGACCGATATTCCTCGGGCTGGTGACTGCTCCCATGATGAATGGGTTTGCTTTCATGCAGACATCCAAAGGCGATGCTTGAGACATAGTCTGTAATAATGGGTCACGCGTTCACTGCAGCTAATTGTCAATCTTTCTGTAAAGCACTGAGAAAGCCTCTCTGTGAATTAACACTGTTCTGCTTTAGGCACTTGAATGAAATTGTATTAAAAAAAAAAAATTTCTCTATATGCATTGCATGCCAGCTTTGCTTTTAAAATTACAAACTGTAACAGAGTATGTGGATCTATTTTCTCGGGGAATAGGGATTTTTATCATATGATTCATCTAGGATTTGCCTTACCCTGACATTTGTGATATAATATAAAGTTTAAAAAAAATGTAAAAATTAAAAAAGGTAATTTTCTTGGCCAAAAAAAATATGTTTTTACTTCAATGCAAAGAAATGTAGACTGTTGCTTGCAAAATGTCTTCTAATGGATGGTCTAGCAGCTATATGGGTTAGCACATGCCTTTTCTGTTACTCTGTCATTTACATGCTGAATTTGTCTGAGTCTTGTTACTTTTCCTTTTGTCTGTGCCATGCGTTGGAAAACTTAAAGAACTGATGCCTTCATACTACCGTGTTAAAGCAAAACGTTAATAAAGCTTGTCCTGAAGACAAGGTGATGCCTCTCCTGTGTTTATTCCCTCCTTAATGTGTTGGAGCAGCAGTAACTTTGGTTGTCAGTGAAGGACATATTGGTTTGGATGTGCAGTGTGTGCACCCAGATCCTCACTTAAATTTATCATTCACTTGATGGCAGAGTCTCATGAGAGCCAGATATCTTCAGGCAAGGGGGATTTTTGGATACCATCACCAAAAGATAAGAAGGGGGATTTGGTGGCTCAGAGGGAAAAGGTCTTGTGGTTGGTCCCATCGCTGCCCCTAAGATGTTACAAAACCCCTCCCAGCAGTTGTACCAGGACTTAATCCAGGCATCAGTCATCTGTCAAAAAATATTCCAAAATATGCAATCAGAGACATGATATAACAGAGAATTGCGTATGCTAGATGTTATCTGCCCTTTCTGCCATCACTAATTTCAAAAATGGATAGGTAGAAAATACTGCAAAAATCACAAAGGTGGCTTTTTTCTTCACGTGACACCGGTATAGATGAAAACCTGTGTACTGACCCTGCCTTACTGTGGTCCAAGGCCAAGGATTTAATTGTCAATAACTGAAGCGGGAGGACTGGCTCTGTAGGTTCAAAGCTCTCCGACAAATTAATTCCCTTTCTGAAATTTAACTTTTTCTTGCGTACAACTCCTGGGCTGCTTAATGGAAGAGGACCGGGCACAGTAAGTGCATGGCAGTGGGGAATGTTTGCTGTTTTGCTGGATGCAGGACCCAAGTATGGTCTTAGTAGCAGCAAGCCAACCTGAGAGTAAGAAATACCTCAATAGCTGTGACACAGCATCTCTTTGGCTTCAGCTCTGTTTTCGCTGTATTGCCAGAACTGTACAGCAGAGGAGGTGCCTACTTTCCCTCACACTGTGACCTGTTTCTGCTGTGAAGGTGTGTATATTTAATGGGAGAAAAATAAATTCCTCTCTCAGCTAGGAGAAAGTACTGTCCATCTCACCCTTTTTAACTAGTGCAAGGTCAAGAGGAAAACCTCCGTGGGTTTAGAGGATGAAAGAGGGCACGTGTTTGAGGCTGCTCAGACCCTCGCAGAGTTGGGTGCTTGTCCACATGATGTGGATTAGGCGAAGAGTAGATGAGTCTGCTGGTCAGATTTGGAAGGGAAGGTGTCAAAGTGGTAGATTTGGGCCTGGAGAAGTCTTTTGTGGAGCTGTAACATTGGATGTCACTCTAAGTCTGCAGAAACAGAGACCCAGTTACTAATATTCCTACTCAGCTTCTGGGCAATAGTCTCCAAGAGAAATTGGGTTGCCTTTCAGGATATCCCTGTGAACCTCCTCAGAGGGTTATGTGCATGCTTTATATTGGCTTTGATTCCTCCCTGCAACCTCCTCTCTCAGAGCAGCTTCTGAAGGGGGTCAACATGACCTTGGTCTGTCTTGTAAGGTGAAAACTATGCCTTGGGATTTTAATTAGTCTTGGGGTTGGGCTTTTCTTTTCTGTCTTTTTTTTACTGAACTGAAATTGTCCAGAGACATTTAAATACCCTAATTTCTCGTTCCACTAGAATTATCAGCAACCCCTTAAAGTAAATGGCAAATCACTATTAATTCCTTCAGAATTCACTGATAAAACATTTATCATAATGAATTCCTTTAAAAAAAAAAAAAAAAGAAAAAAAAAGATTCCTGATGAAAACACAGCTGGTAGAGGAGGTACTTGGGAAGGCTGCTCCATCTGGTGGCAGCTCAAGGCTCGTGGCTTGGGGGGCACTTCTAATTTTATGCGTGACTCGGGTGAGATTTTCCTCCAGTTTAAGCCTGTTGAGCATCACCCTCTCCTTGGTAGAAGAGCACTGGACACCTCTCACCTCTAAACAATGCCCCCATGATCAAGTTTGTCTTTCACCAGAGAGAAATGGTGTTCAGAGTTAAGAAAAGCCCCCTCTGCCCCTTAGAAATGGTCTTCAGGTAATATGAGCTCTCATGGAAAAGGGTGAGGAGGCCAAATCCACTGAGAACAACCTTGCTGTGACAGTGTAGCACAATGTAGGCAAGAATGGAACAATCTTTTATTAATACTTTCCAGTGCAAGTCTGGGAAGCAGCGCTGCCACTGCGTGTTGTAGAGGCCAAGGAGCCAGTTTGGTCTGTGCCATGTACTTCCAACTCCTACTCATTTCACACCAACTCCCAACCATGTGCTTTCTAGAAGTGTCCTTAGGGATAGGAAATGTAAACCTAAACTTCAATTTTGTTTTTTGGGGTTTTTGTTTTGTTTTGTTTTGTTTTGTTTTATCCAAACACATTTTAGCAAGTCAGGAAATTAGTTTTGAAATAAAAGTGGAAACAGAAGTACAGATCAAATCACAAAACAGGGGAAACAAGCAGCAGAGACCCACAAACCCAGAGGCAAACCAAAGGCACTCTGAAATTAAAACCTTCTCTGCCCTGTGACTCACAGCACCTCCACACCACAGTAGGGTGTGTTTATTTTTTTTTTCACAGGAAAGGGAAACTGGGGAGGCCAGGTGCTGAGGAGAAGCCAGTTACCTCTTTCCCCCAGTCAAATGGATGGGGAGTGATTTGACTTCTAAGTGGTCAAAAGTGACCCAAAGGCTGCCTCTGTGCCTGTACAGGTGGTACAATGCTTCTGCACAGTCCTCAGGTCGGTTCAGGTACCACAAGGAGAATGCCTTGTCTTGGGAGGGATCCAGACCAGGCCTTGACCCAGTTCCATAGAGACAGAGGGTCTCATCCTCCCACACCCTCGTCTTTAGCCTTCTGTTTTTATGGATTTAGATAGATACATGCATATGTAAGACAATTAGTTTGACAGGCATGATTTAGCAAGTATATACTGATACAGAATCTTACATGTATGTATTCTTTATTTACTATACACTGTGTATCAGATGATGTGTAGTTAATGTATTTCAGACCATATAATGTATATTATTATGCATGTACATGGAATACATCTAATTTGATTAAACTGTGTACTGTATAGAAAATGTATTGGATAAAATTTGCATTTACACACTGTGTAAACACAGGTAAAAGCTGCACTATAAAGTAAATATTTACATACAATGTACCATATATTATGTAAACTAAACCCTTCAGCTACTGTCTAAAATGGAGATAATATATACCAGCAATCTACTACCAATACTGTGTTTTAGACCACATATTATAGATAACAAACTAGGTACTATTTAATATCAATATGTAACTACATATACTCTAACACAATAGTGGTCTTTAATGTAGAATAAATTTAACTTGGGTGATATATTTGCACACAACAGGACAGTCTAAATCATGTAGTTTATAATCTCTATGCTATAATATTCTGATATGTGTACTACTCCTATATATCAGTATAATGATATATAAGAATAATATCGTATGCATATAAGAATTATACGACATTGTTTGTCTAATAAGTGTCATAAGCAAGATACAATACATTACATAATGATACATAATGAACTATAGTAATGCTTACACTACACATACTATTTAGTAGGAACACATTTCATGTTTATACCAAATGATACATGACATTATATTATACTGTAATTATATAGTTCTTAGTAGATGAAATACACTCTATGTCGCATATCTCTATGGCATATAAATTATGTCCTTGTAGTTTTTTTGGCAGTATACTCTTTTAATAAAATGGAAAAAAAAATTTCTGCATAAAATGTCCTATGTAACATCTATTATCTCTCAAAGAATACTCCCATATCTATATATGCAATCCACACATATAATATAGACTATACAGGGTACATTAGATGTTATTGAGGAACTTTGTATCAGAACAGTATTATGAGATGATATATGGTATAGCTTATTTGTACTATATAATATAGCATGTGCTGCATGAGGAATCAGAGAACAAACAGGAGTCTGCGTGGTGAGATTTATTTCTATCCCAATCTAAAGACAGAAACCGAAGTTTTAAAAACTGTGATAACAAGCAGCACTTCTGAGTGTTGGTTTTTTGTTGTTGTTTCCAGTCAAGTCTACTGACAAATGTAAGAGATAAAAAGTAGAGTTTAAATTTAAAAAAACCCAACAAAATAAAAGTTACAATCCTCTCTGGTTTTTCCCTGTCATGCAGAACAAGTCTGACAAAACCTGTGATACAGAGAAAACAGTCTCACAAAGCTGCACACTTATTTCTTCTCCTGATGCAAAGGGGCCTCTGGAGTGTGTTTTGGTTTGTTTTTTCCCCTTGGCTGTATTAATACACAGACTTGGGGACAGCTAAAATTCTTTAGCCTGGTGGGCACCGCAGCAGCTCTGAAGCTTAAGGTAGCCAGACTAATTCCATTACAGAGCCAAGGGCTCTGAAATAATAGCCCTCGTTCAAAATTCAGGCCAGAGGTTCAGAGGAGGCTGGAGAATTGGAGTGGGAGGCAGATGGGGGTAGTTGTGTGCTTGGGAAGGGGAGGGGATGGTGGACTTCTGACAGTGGCAGACAGAGACGTTGATCCAGCTGTGGAGAGCCCCAGCAGTGTGACCCCAAAGGAAAAAAAAAGAAAAAAAAAGAAAAAAGAAACCAAAGTGCTTTTCATTACCTGTTAGCCAAAAAGAGATCTGGAGCTGTGAGCAATGAAAATGCCTCCTGCTGTTTTAGCCTTGCTATGGATGGAGAGAACAGGACCAAAATTAATCATTGCATCCTTTGCTTCAACAAAATTACCCAACTCATGAGCAGTTTGTCCTGCTGGTGGAGACAACCTGCTAGACTCTGCAATGAGTGGCCTTGTGTGTCAAGCAAGGGAGGCACCATAATTGAAATTATTTTTGCTAAAGCTCTGATTTGCATTGCCAAACTCCTGGGAAAGGGAGACTTAGAGAAGGGTTATGCTTTCAGGCTTGGTACCTGAGCCATGACTCCAGCCTTCCCAAAAATGTCTAGGACAGTAGTGCCGCAGTGCTCAAGCCAGTCTGAAGAGAGAAAAGCCTGTTGCAGACACTCAGTTGACACAACCCAACACTTGCTTATCTAGAACCAGTTA